AACCTTCCCTCCTGCTCATGCGTATGCCTTGGGAATAACTACGTCTACATCCCCTCGATATTTAACATTACTGAACCAATGCCGCTCTCGGGTCCCACATGACCGAGCTTGTCGCCCCCCAGAATACACGGCGGCGTCAAAGTAGTGGCGTGCGACCTCTCAGTGCTCTATCTCCGATCGCAGCTGCCTCTGCGCGTCCTGGGGAGGTACATTTGTTGCGCGCCGGAGACGACTCGACGCCGCTGAGATCGGAGATCAAGCTCTGACAGGTCGCACGTCGCTCCTTTGACGCCGACGTGACTCACCCGTGCAGATCACATCAGGACACGGTCTCGACGCGCTCGGTACGACGCCTGCGACCCGTCTCGGGGCAGGTGGCACGACGCTCTTATCGCCTGCCAGCGCTGCCGTGCAGGTTGCCACGACGAGGTCGAGAACGCTTCTATACGCTCGCCGAGCCTTCCTTTCCATCCCATTAGGCAGCCTGGGAACGGTGGCGATCAGAGGCAAAGCCTACGAGGGGTGGTGGAACCACATGTCACGGCTACTGTACCGCCGGCTCACCCCACGATAGCCTCCGGAGGCTGACTTTGAGGCACAATCATCGGACGATGTCGACGAGTTGGGTCGCTCTCGCGGTAGCCAGATGACCTCTCATACTAGGAGCATCGGCCATGGCCGCAGGGAGCGCGGGGGGGGGCGCTGGAAGCAACACGGAGCTCCGTTGGAGACGTTTTCAAGATTAGCGTGTCAGAGTGAAATGGCACTAGCCACCGTGATCAACGTACAACGATATACTCGATACGGCGCAGCCCCCAAATTTTCCTCGCTGCTGCGGGCGATCGATCCTCCTCATGCTCAGCAATCGCTGCCTCAGCATCCTCCTCTTCCGATTCTCGTTGCTGCTTCTTGAGCGCAATATTCGGCGACTTCTAGCCAAACAGTTCTCACAAATAGCCTCAAGCTCAAACGAACGCGTGTCAGAGAACCCCTGTGTATGCTGGTCCTCTTTGAACGATCCGCACGTGAGGTAGCATAGGGCCTTGTTGGCAGCAGCCAGCTTGTTGCGCTGCTTCGTTGGACGTTGCGATGAGCTGATTAGGATCGCAGAAGTGCATGCCAAGCACCGCCACGATCTTGAAGCAGAACACATCGCAACCGCATCGTCCGCACTGCCATCGGCATGCCGCGCCCGCCGCTTCGCCGCAGCCGCCTTAAGACACGCATAGCGGCAGCACATGGTACGGTGCGCGTACTTGAGCAGGCGTTGCGCGCCGCAAGTAGTGCACTGGCCCTGGGAGAAGGCGATATGGCGTCGTGCGCGGCATACGTTGGTCGGGACCGTCCAGGTATTTTTCGTTCGGGTAAACCTGAATGAAGGCTTTTCTAGGTATACCCTGGTTTTACCCGGAGTTGGCCTTATGTCGTCTAAGTTCATGGCCCCCGACCATACAGCGTCTAAGTCTGAGCCCGGCTCCGAGCGGGGCTAAGTTGAGCGCTCGCTCGCTGCAGAGGCTAAGTGTTAGAGCGACCCCTAGCCCTACTACCCAACCATTGTTCTTTACACTAGGCACGGGGCTGGAGTGTGGAGGGAGAGCAATAAATAAATAAATAAAACGGGCAAACTCTGAGACGAGATGGGATTTAGGGACATGTGTCCCCGCCCTGCACGATCTTGGTGTGAGGGATCTTCAATCCGTGTCCCCTCACCCCTCGTCACAACCCGACACGGAAGAGCGGCAAGAGTTGGGGCTGCGGCTGCGGCTGCGGCTATGAGAGGGGCCGGGGTCGCGGCAGAGCCGCTGCGCCGCGTGGACGCGCCTACACCGCTCTTGCTCCGCTCGCCACCTCTCGCAAAGGTCCAAAGCCATAGCCACCACCTCCTCCGGCAAGTCCTTTCGCCGTATCTCGCCGTCCCTCCACGCCTGGAAGATCTCGTCGTCATAGCCGTATTGCATCACAGCCTGCTGAACTGCGTCGTGTACGACCCCTGCCGTCCTATCCTGCGCCTCAGCGTCGGAAAAGTCGAACTCGGAGTCATACTCGGAAGCAGGCACAGACGGCCGCGGTGATTTGGCAGGCGGCGAGGAGGGGGAGGGGGAGCGCGGCGGTGCGCGCTCGTGGCTCCCGCTGGTGCCAGAAGGGCCAGCGCCCAGCGCGCTCAGCCTGTTCTTGTTCACCTTGGGAGAGGGGGGTGGGGGTCCACCTCCCTTGGGTGCGGGCTGGCGGTCAGGCTTGCGCTTGACCGCCTTGCCCGGCGGCTTGCGGCCAGGGTTCCTAATGGTGAACCTGTCCGGCATGCCGCCCTTCCCAACCCTGGTCCACCCCTCGGGCGACTCGTTGGGCTGGGGTTGCTGCATCTGTTGGTGCTGTGGGTGTGCCTGCGGTGCTGCGGCCGGAGCGCTGCAGCGGCGGCAGGCGGTGCTGCGGGCGGTGCCGCGGCGGAGGTGGCAGCAGGCACAGGCTGCGGTGGGGCACTGCCCTCCTTGGCCTGCTGCCGCTCCCTGTCCCTCTCCCACTGGGACTGGGGCTGGACAATGAACTGCTTGCCCATGGGCGTCGGGTTGACGCTGAAGCTCCACCAGTTGCGCTCCACGGCGAGAGGATGCGAATCATCGCCTCGTCTTGCGGCGCCACCGCCTCTCCTGTGGCTTGCGCGCACAGTTTGAGCCTGGCCGCAACGGACGGGCCATCGCGAGCGTCGGCCATGGCCCCGTTTCTCGCCGTTTTGTAAAGTTTGGCACTAGGGAGAGCAAAACAAACAACAAATTGCTAAAAATCTCTCTCTCTGGAGAGAGACAGAGAGAGATTGTCGGGACTGGCGCGCACTCCGAAGCAAAACCCTCTAAGAAGTGACTATCTGTTTGTATTTTGTTGTCACCGAAGGCGCTCTCAAAAAGAATTCTTAAGATACAAGCCTCTCTCACAGCAAAAAGAAAAAGATGTCGGCCGTTGTGCTTTTGTAAAAGAAAGAAAGAAAACACTAAACAGACAAAACCCAAGGGAGATGACGCTTGACGGCACGCTTAAGACGACACCACTATCGAGCCTCACTTCGCACCATGCGCACCACCCGCTCCGCACCTCGGTCGCCCTCGTAGTACTGCACCTGGCCGCTGGGAAACTCTTTGCGCACCAGCCGCTCTGCACCTCGCTCGCCCTCGAAATGCTTCACGTTGCCGGTGGGAAACACCGTGCGCACCTTCCGCTCCGCGCCTCGCTCGCCCTCGTAGTAGTGCACCTCGCCGTTGGCAAAAAAAAAAAAACCCTTTTCCCCCCCCGTGGCGCACAATCCGCTCCGCACCTTTCTCGCCCTCGAGGTGCTGCACTTGGCCGTCGGCACGCACCGCGCGCACTTTCCGCTCCGCACCCTGCCCGCCTTCGTAGTACTTCACGTTGCCGCTGGCATACACCAGGCGCACTTTCCGCTCTGCACCTTGCTCGCCCTCGTAGTAATGCGCCTCGCCGTTGGCAAGCTCAGCGCGCACCTTCCGCTCCGCTCCTCGCTCGCCCTCGTAGTGCCGCTCCTGGCCGCTCTGCAAGGACCGTGACCGCAGCTTCGCGCCATTCTCGCCGCGCCGCAGCCTCCAGACCTCGCGGCGGTTCTCGCCAGCGCCCTCCACTTCTGACGAGAGGCGGAGCGCCGGGCTCACCCTCGCAAGCCACGGGAAGTGGTCGGCGCTGGCGCGGCGGTCGGCGGCGTATCTGCGGAGGGTGTCCTCGCTGAGCGTCACCACACCGAAGCCACCGGCAAAGCGTTGGAGGAGCAGCAGCCGCATCGCCACGGCGAAGAGCGGGTCCTTGAAGCGCGCCAGGCCGCTGCGCAGGGCGAGGAGGCCGAGGCGCGGCGACGCGAGGCTGAAGGCGGCGCAGTCGGAGAAGTCGTCGACGCCCTCGAGGATGCGGAGGTGCAGCTCGTGTGGCAGCTCGGCCAGCCAGTCCGTGGGCGGGGCGTCGTCTGCGGTGCGTGCGGCGCGAGGGCAGCGCGACATGTGAGAGGCGCGAGAAAAAGAAAAAGCCGCTGCGCGCTTTTGGCTTTATTGTACACATGCACAGACACACAGCCCCTTCCCCTTCAAGGGCGAGGACACGCGCAGGGGTCGCACTTCTAGCGAGGCCCACAGAGTGGGAGACTCCTATCACCGCCACTGCCACCCACGTGTCAGTCTGCCTGTGGTAGAAGAGACTGCCGGTGAGAAGTCGGAGGAAGGTCGCTAGTCGAGAGAGATCGCCAGTGGATAGGGAGTCCACCGTGCTGCGAGCCTGTCGCTGTCCCTTGTCAGGAGCAGGAGAACTAGGAGAGCGCAACCAGTAGGAGGCCCGCGCTTGCCCCTGTGCCGCCGGGTGCAACCTGTCCTATACGAGAGAGGAATCCCTGGGACCCTGTCGTGAGGGTGAACCCTCCCCAGCCCCCCTCCGTGTCGCGATGCGCTCCCCGCTCCCGTTCCCCTGTGTCCCTGATCGTCCTTACAAGATCCTGCTCGCGCAGGTGGGGACCCTGTCCTTCTCCCACCCCTCGTTTGGCGTGTCCGTTGTATTTATTTATTTATTACCTACATTGGCTTTAAAAGAAAGAAAGAAAACAGACAACCCAAGGGAGGGATGGGAGGACGGCACGCCGCCACCACACAGGGATTTTAAGTCGCTTGCGGGACGGTCGAACTACGCGTCCATATCGATTCAAACGAGACAGCCGCAATTCACCTCAAGTGAAAACGCCGCGAAACCGCTGATGAGCCATGCCAGCACGCGGTCGTCTACCTTTAGCCGCGCGGCAAAAAAGCCTCCCCTCCAACCCATCCACCTCGGCGCGAGTCTTCTGGCGGAGAACGCTCTCGAGCTGGCAGAGGTCCACCCCCTCATCAGTGTCAAGTCATAAAAACGAGAGTAGTTCGCTTCCCAGCTCTGTGTCTTGCTTTGCCGAAAAATGGGTGCTAGTATGAGCCCGACCCAGGTCGTAGTGTTCTTGCTCCCAGCGCTTGCGCTTCGGCGGTTAGTGGTGCACTAACCTCCGAGAAACCCTTCGGGTCGCTCCTCATCGCAAACCCTGTCAGCAGAGTCTCCCACGGGAAGAGTGTAACGAAGAGATCGCCGACGGCTGCCCGTCTGTTGGGCTGCTAGCGGACAAGGTGGCGCACGAGGCAACGTGATTTCCGCCGTGTGCCAGCGCATGTTGGCGCCGCTGCAGACCCAGTTGACCACGCAGGGTGCGGAGATCGAGCGGCTGCAGGCCCAGGTGGCAGCGCAGGGTGCGGGAATGAGCGGCTGCAGGCCCACGTGGCGAGTCAAGAAGGGCGACTCGTGCGCCAGCGCGTGGGCGCCGCGCCGCCAAGCAATGCGGAGGTGCGAGAGATGGCCAGCCGGGTCGCTTCTGCATCGTGCAAGCGGCTGGCTAAGGCGAGTGCGATCGAGCCAGTAGAGGTGACAGCGCTATAGGCTCACTCGCAGGAGGCGGAAGGCGGCGACGACGGCGCATACTAGGTCACGCATGGCATCAGAAGTTTTATCTCTGGGCCCCGAAAGGCATCTCTAGCAGCGTCGTTACGCATGCGCCCTCCCCTCCTGGGCGCATACGCCTCACGTCTCGACAGAGCATAAGCCCTTGGTGTGCCACGAGACGAGTTTTTCGCCATCGCCGCGAGCAGCAAGCCGCCCGCCGCAAACAGCCGGAGGCATCGCCGCAGCACTGTCTGCGCTGCGCTCCCGCACCCGTCGACGAAGCTCCCCCCGCGGAAGACCGCGCGTAGCGACGCCTTGTCGTTCGAGATGAGCGCGCTTGAAGCCCGCCCACCTACTGCCCCTGAGAGTTGGTTACCGAGTGGGATCAGCTCCCCCCCTTGGGATCGAAGCTTCCACGACCTCGCACCCAACACCACAGGCGGGATCACTCTCTCTCTCTCTCTCTCTCTCTCTCTCTCTCTCTCTCTCTCTCTGCAGATTGCCCGTGCAAAGGTAGCGGAAGCTTCGAGCGAGGATAAGGCTGTCGAGGAGGAGGTAGCGCGAGCGATGCAGCAAGGCAATGGCCTCGTGCAGGCGACGCTTGAGCACCTCGAGACGGCTGAGCGGTCGTGGGATAGGTTCGTCGAGCTGGGCGGCGAGGTGATTGACGGGTATCCGAGCGAGGTGCAGGTGGTCAAGCGTCTGCTCGACGCAACGACCGAGATCACGCGGCTCAACAACCAGCTTGTGCAATTGAGGCATCTGCAAGACCGCGAGCGCGAGGACCACGCAACGTCGCAACGCCAGCTCGCAGAGCAGCTTGTCCAAGCGACAGATCTCAACGATGTCTACCAGGCCAATACATCAGCACTCACGATGCGGCTGCGCGAGGCGGCCTTGATGTCGGAGCATGCAACTACGATGCCGGTGGGCTCACCAGTCGCCGCCGAGAATGTTGGAAGGCACACAGTCGTTGAAGGAGACGCCGTGGACACAGCGGCGGCCGTAGCAACGCAGCAGCCACAGCCGCAGCGTCGCGTCTTTCTGGACGATGACGACGAGACCGAAGACGAGGACCCAGACGTGGACGAGACTGACGACGAGGAGGACATGGGAGCAGCTGGAGCGGGCGAGGCAGCGACAGCGACCAGCCCGGCAGCTACGACGGCAGATCCCTGGGCGCGACAGCTGCGGTCCAACACAAGGGCCGCGACTTCGTCATCGTCGACAGTGGCCGACACCGAGGCGGAGGAGGTGGCCTCCGCGGAGGTCGCGGTTGAGGCAGACGAGCGCGATACGGCGATGCTCACCAGGTACGGCGTGCTCCGTGGCGGATGCTCCAGGTGCCGTGGCGGCGGGAAGAAGCGGCGGTGCCCTGAGTCCTGCTACGTCTCTGGGGCACGCAAGTTTGTTCGACTCATGGTGGAGCTCGATTGAGATTGGAGTCGAGCAGCGGCGTTGGAGGGGCTCATCGGCAGAGGAGGCTTGTGAATGGCGCTCCGGTGGGCTGCCAGCGAGCTTAGCGCGTCACAACGGCTGCTGGGGTAGGGGGCGTGAAACTGAGGACGGCGAATCCCAGCGGCAATGGGAGGGCCGGCAACGCGAGAGGGAGTTTGCTCTGCTGTGGGGCCGGACAGCGTATCTGCTTGAGAACTAGAACGGTGCCTGTGGGGCTGAGGGCAGGACGCCCGGGTGGACTGGATTGTTGTGCATTGCGCCTAGCTGCGACAGACTCACAGCCGTGAGGGGTGGCCCCCCCCAACTGCGACACTCTAGATCTCTGTGCTGGGCTTGTGGTTCTGTCGTGCCGTACTTGAGGGGTACGCACTTACAGGGGGGGCGGGGGGGGGCGAAACCGAGAGCGCTATGGGGAGTAGCCAGACGCCAGAGGATGACTGTGTAAGGATGTTGGGTGTCAACTTTTGATTGTAAAAGGCAAGAACACAGGGTGCTACGGTACAAGACAAGACGACGACGACGACAGCGAAGCGCTTTGGCCGGCAATGGTTGCGGCGAGGGCATAATGCCCGGCTGGTAGGACGTCGCGAGGGCGGCGGCGGGTGCGCCTTGCCGGGCGGGAAGGGAATCGTGAGAATGGCGGCGGGGGCGTCGTGCCAGGGGGTACGGCGGCGGCGAGGGTGGAGGTGTGGGCGCTTTGCCGGGCGGGTAGGGCGGCGGCGAGGGTGGTGCAGCGAGAGGACGGAGTCACGGGAATGTTCGGAGAGAGGTCCGGCGGAGATCGCGATGCGAGGAGAGAAGAGAGAGGGCTCGAAGCGGATGCGAGAGGAGGGCAGCGATGGCGGTAGCGATGGCGGTGGTGCGGCGGTGGTGCGGCGTCCGCGCGAGGCGCAGTGCAACCTCACCAGGCGAGGAGGGCGTGCAAATCCCGTGGGTTGGCGGTGTGTGCGGCGTCCGAGCGCCTATGTGATTCGGCCGCGCGTGGCTGAAGAGCCGTTGCTCTCGCAGTCGGACAGCAGCTCAGCGCGCGACGTCGCGCGGAGTGGGATTCACTGTCGTCGCGATTCACTGCGCCTAGAGAGAGCGCAGCAGGGGGAGAAGCGGCGGGGCAGTTGGCGCCGCGCTGGCGTCTGCGGCAGGGTGGTGGCTGGTCCGGCGGGCAGGGTGGCGGGTAGGGTGGCGGCGAAGGTGGCGGCGAAAGTCGGGTAGGGCGGCGGCGATGGCGGCGGCATCGGTGCCTTGCGGCGAGGGTGGAGGTGTGGGAGCTTTGCCGGCCGGGCAGGCGGCGGCGAGGGTGGTGGGGTGTGCAACGAGAGGACGGAGACATGGTTGAGGTCGCTCTCGTCCAGGCTCGCCGCGCCTACGGGAAGGTTCCGAGAGAAGGTCCTGGCGGAGATCGCGATGCGATTAAAGAAGAGAGAGGGCTCGAAGCGGATGCGAGAGGAGGGCAGCGGTGGCAGCGGCGCCCGTGCGCGTGTGTTGTCGGTCGCGCCTTATGCGAGCCGCTGCTCTACGGCCGCACAGCAGCGTACGGGTAGCATGCGATGCCGCGCGGAGTGCACCGTAGGCGCGATACGCTATGCCTGGAGAGGCGCAGCAGCGTGAGAAGCGGCCGAGCTGTCCTGGCGTCTGCGGGAGATATGGGACATGGTGAGGCTGAGTACGGCGAGCTGCGGCCGTTGGCGGGAGCGCGGCCAGGCGGCAAGGAGCTGCGATCGCAGCGCACACGCGGCGACAAGTGACGCCTCGTGGTCTTGAGTGGTGTGCAGAGTGAAACAGGTCGCTTCGTGCGAGTGCGGGCGGTGAGGTCCGAGGAGAGTGGAGAGGACAGTGCGTGCGAGAGGATGGCGTGTGCGAGAGGATGGTGTGTGCAGGGCGAGCCTAAATAGCGCGAGAGGGGACAGCGTGTCAGAGAGGACGACCTGCCGGAGCCCGGCGGGCGCCGTGGCGACTTCGTTTCGCCGTGGGAAAGAATTTTACTAAAGAATTGCCGACGCGAACTTCTGGTTTGCTGAAGGCGAGTGGCGGGATTGATCAATGTAAGGGGCGCCTGTGTGCTGTATGCGTGCGTGCGTGCATGCGTGCTACGTGTGCGTGCGCGGTGGTCCCCTCACAGAGAGAGAGAGTGAGAGTCTCTGCCCGGCTGGACCGACATTTACGAGAAATTAAAAGCCATCCACTGTGACATTTGGGAGGGGAACGGCAAAATGTCACATGATGAGTGCGGCGTGTTGCCAGTACTAAAATTTAGTTGACGAGGGATCTTGTGACAGGAGCTGGACGGGAATGGGTTTGCTAATACTAATTGCCAATTGGTGACATTTACGCTTGTTTGCGGTCCGTGCCGGCCGGCAGGTAAGGACAGAAAGCGTATCGCGCCGGCGAGAGAGCGGCGGTTGACCCCTGGTTCACTTGTGACGTCCGTGCGCGCGATGTTGTCGGGTGAGAGACGGGAAGCTTGCCGCGTGCGTGCCTTGAACTATCGGAGTGCCATTTGCGACGGCAAGGCTGAAGCATGCCAGGCGTTTGCGAATGACCAGGGCAACCAGAAAAGGCTCATGGATCTGGCGCTCATGCAGAATAGGGAGCAACTGATGGCGAGCGGGACAATGATGAGTGCCTCGGCGATGACAAAGTGGCTGTGCGAGCAAGACATCCATGTGATGCGTGGGACAGTGATCGCCAGGACTGACTCCGTCAAGCGCAGGTATGCAGGAGCAGGCAGTGCACCGTCCATGTCGATTCCGATGCAAATCGGTTCAGGCTATGACTCGGCGGCGATGCACTGTGAAGTCGATGGCAATGAGTGGCCCTCGACAGATACGGTAGAAGACGGGTTGGGAGCATTGGGACTGCTCGCAGAGCCGCAGCAGCAAGTGTTTGATGATGGACGCAGCAGCCAGAGCTGTACGCCTGAGATGATGAGCCTCCTGCCCACGGTTGTCGACGGAGACCCCTCTTTTGCCGCATCGGCTGCAAACGCACTTTTTGGCGCAGGGAGATTCCACGCTGCAGCCGGCGGTGGCGGCAGTGGCGGTGGCGACTGTGGCAGCGGCGGAACAGCCGCTACGCCGCAGCCCGCGACCACTGGTGGTGGGGGAGCTGGCGGCGGAGGTGGCGCAGGCGGCGCAGGCGGCGGAAGCAGCAACGGTGACGTGGGTGGTGGCGGAGGTGGGGGCTTAGGTGGGGGCGGCGATGGGGGCGGCGATTGGGGCGGCGATGGTAATCAACACGGATTAACACTAAGGTGCTACGGCGACTACGAGCGGAAGCAGGTTCTCGAGGCGGTCGAGGAGATCGACCCGAACACCTTCGCGACCTCCGAGGAGCTCGACGCCGCCAAGGCTCAGATCGGCGCCCTCCAGAAGCAGATCGACGACAACGATGGCGACGACGACCAGACCGCCGCTTTCGCAAAGGCGGGCCTCGGGCTCGGCGTCACTGGCTTCGTCTTCGGCGCCGCCGCCCTCGCCGTGGCCCTCACCAAGAAGCACGCCGTCGTCGCAAAGCCGAGCGTCAAGGTCTCCGAGGGGACCGTCGCTGGCGGCGTCTGAGCGGCCCGCCGCCGCGCGCCGGGCTCCAAGCGCCGGGCTCTCGCCCGGCGGCCCGGCGCGGCGGCGGTTCCATGGCCTCGCCCGCCGCCGCGGCCCCCCTCCCTCCCTCGTCCGCCTTGCGGCGTGCCCGGACATGACGCCCCGCCCTCACCCCCGCTGACAGCGGGAGGGGACCTGGGCCGAGATACGGGCGCCGGCATGGCGGAGGGAGCCGCCCCGCTCGCCGCGCTCGCGGCGCCGCTCACCGCTTTGCCCTGGAAGGCTTCGGTGCAGCCGGTGGGGCCGCGGAGGCGGGGGGCTGGCACGGGAGGGCAGAGGGGTCGCTGGTGCCGCTGCCTCTCTCGCACTGAAGCGGGGTGCCCCATGCGCGGCCGGAGGCCGTGAGGGGGCGCAGAGATGTAAGGTAAGGCAAGGTAAGGTAAACGTCTCCACACACACAAAGTGGTGGGGCAAGGGGGGGCGACCCTCGCATCTCCACGCCCGGACACGGGCAGGAGCCCCACGGCATTCAAAGTGCAAGCACCGGCCCGGTGCCGTGGGTGAGCAAACCTGCACCCCACTCCCTCCCTCCCCCAGACACAGGACCCACAGAGATGTGTTGTGAGAGGCGCGGGGGAGGGGTAATGGTTGCAGCGATGAAAGGAGTAGGGTGTGGGGGGTGGGGTTCACAAGAACTCAAAAGCTCCTTTTGAAACGATAAACAATTTGAATCTGTGCTCTGTGCACCGTGGCTTCAGAACTGGCTTCAGCGGACTCCCGGAGAGCGGAGAGAACCCAAGTGGATGTCGTGCGACATGCTTCACACAAATGTCCGCCTCGTGCGTCGATCGTCGCCTCCGCGCCCTGTCAGCTGTGGATTTCAAGTTTTCTGCCCCCCCCCCCCCCCCCCTCCTCCGCCCTCCCCCCTTCTCACTCCCGCGACCACACCTCGATCTTCTTCGGCAGCAGCTGGTTCGACAGGTCCTCTCCGTGGCCTAGTCGGGCGTCTTCGCCCTCGCCCCAAGCGAAGACAGCGCCATCGGCGGTGAGGGCGAGGCTGTGGACTTCCCCTGCCGACACAGCCACGACGCGCCGCGCCGCAAAGGCCTCGATCTTCTTCGGCAGCAGCTGGTTCTGCTCGTCGCCGTGGCCCAACTTGCCAAAGGCTCCATAGCCCCAGCTCCAGACGGCGCCGTCGGCAGTGATGGCGAGGCTGTGGGCGTCTCCAGCCGACACAGCCACGACGCGCCGCCCTGCCAACGCCTCGACCTTCTTCGGCAGCAGCTGGTTCTGCTGGCCGCCGTGGCCCAGCCTGCCCCCACCTCCATGGCCCCAGGTCCAGACGGCTCCGTCAGCGGTGATGGCGAGGGTGTGGTACCCTCCAGCCGAAACAGCGACGACGCGCCGCCGAGCAAACGCCTCGATCTTCTTTGGCTGCCGCTGGCTCTGCTGATTGCCGTGGCCCAACTGGCCACAGGCTCCAAAGCCCCAGCTGCAGACAGCGCCGTCAGCGGTGATGGCGAGGCTGTGCGCGGATCCAGCCGACACAGCCACGACGCGCTGCCCTGCCAAGGCCTCGATCTTCTTGGGCAGCAGCTGCCCCTCCCGGTTGCCGTGGCCCAACCGGCCATCTTCTCCATCGCCCCAGCTGCAGACGCCGCCGTCGGCGGTGAGGGCGAGGCTGTGCATGCCTCCAGCCGAGACAGCGACGACGCGCCGCCCAGCAAAGGCCTCGACCTTCTTGGGCTGCCACTGGTCCTCCTCGTCGCCGTGTCCCAGCAGACCCTGCCAGCCGCAGCCCCAGGACCAAACGGCACCGTCCGCGGAGAGAACGAGGCTGAAAAGTCCTGACGCCGCCACACCAATCGCGCGCTCGCCTCCGAGGAGTGACGGTAGACGGGTCGGCGTCATCAGCTGCAGCACGCCCTTGCCGTGGCCGAGAAGGCCTGGAAACTGCGCCTCCTCTTCCTCCTCCCCATCCTCGTCCTCCTCGTCCTCCTCGTCAACCGCTGCCGTGCCGCACGAAGAGAGCCGCCCCTCGCCGTCGATGAAGACGCTGTGGGTCGAGCCTGCGGCCGCCCTCGCCGGCGGGTTGGACTCGCACAGCAGCGCAGCGAAGCACAGCCACCGCACGGGGCAGCCCTCGCCCTCTGGCTGCGCCGGCAGCTCGTAGCCGCGCTCTTGCGCCCACAAGCGGATGGCCTCCACCGCGAGCGAGGCGTGGAAGAGCAGCGAGACGGCCGCGACGCGAGCGATGTCGGCGGGGCTGTTGCAGCGAGAGAGGGCGCGCACGAGGAGCTCCGTGGGGAGGTCGAGGAGGCGGGCGGGCGGCGGCGTGTCTGGCGAGTGAGCGGCGGTGGAGGCGGAGGCGAGGCGGCGCGAGCGGCGCGAGCGGCGCGGCGGGGTGGACATCGCGAAAAAAAGAAAAATGAAACGGGGCTCGCTCCTCATCGCAAACCCTGTCAGCAGAGTCCTCCTACGGGAATGTACTAAGAGCCACATACGCTGAAAAATAGCCATGGTTCAACTCCGTGCACTGACGGTCGGCCGTCAGAAAACACGCCTCCGTGGCTCGGGTTACACCGATCCTCGCTACCCAACGCGGCCAAAGGATATCCACCTCGAGAACCTCGAGAACCATGGTTCAGGACGTAACGAATCCTCTCCGCCACTCACTGGACGTTGGCTTCTCCCTGGCACATACGCAGCAATGGCTGCCGCGCCACCGACAGGCGGCGCTACCGGCGCGGCGCCGGACGGCGAGACCAGCGAGGCGAGTCTGTCCGGCAGCTTCGACCTCTCCACTTCTCTCGGCGCGACCGCCACCGCCACCGCTGCCGGCACGCCCAAGCCGCCCGCCGAGCCAGCAACGCCTGACGGCTGGATGGAGGGTTCTGCACCTGCCGGGCGAATAGACTTTGACGTATCCGACTCCTATTCGGAGAAGAGCTTCGATCTCGACGAATCGGCCGATCTGGCCGCCACCAGTGGGTCGGTAGCAAGTCTCGGTAGTAGTGGGGACGACTTTGATCTCGATGATTCGACGGAGCACGTTGCCCAACCAGTCTCTGTCGAGCCATCGGCCGAAACCCGTGGGGACGAGCAGGACGTACGACACGACGGGACCGCTGCAAAGGGCTCAGCCGACGATGGTGAACCTCCGGAAGCTCAAGTGACTGCTCAAGTGGACCTACCACCGCTGGCCCAACCGTCAGAGCCTCAGCTGGCGGAGCAGAAGAAGGATGCGGAGGAAAGTGTGGAGTCCAGCGGTGATGACTTCAGCGTCGACGAGGATTCATTCCACAGCGCTGCAAAAACTGGCCAGGGCGTCAACATCAACCCCGACCACTCTGTGGACCTGCCCGCCGACGCCGCCGCCTCGAGTGGAGACTCATTTGATCTCGACGAGTCGCAGCCAACTTCGACCGCCGTCGACAGGTCCTCGTCCGTAACACTCGCCAGATAATCGCCGCACTCATCGGTCCCGCAGGTGGCGGCTGTGCGCTCGGGCTGGTCGTCGGCGCAGGGGTTGTCACAATTCCCGTCCTCGCAGTCCTCGCAGCCACGCGGGCACTTCGTCTCGAGCTCGGTGATCAAGCTGTAGGCGCCCACGCATGTTGTGTAGTCGCCCTGGCACGGAGAGCATCCGTTGAGCCCGAGAGGCCATTCGTTATACTGGCTGCCTCCTGGGTGGTCAGAGCCACACGCTTCGAGCCAGGTGCTGTCGCAGGTCTCGCCCTCAGCAAGCCATGCGCTGCAGAGCGCCTCGGGATCAAGCAAGTGCGGGCCGCTGCACGTGGTGTTGCCCCCACACTGCGAGCAGCCAGAAGCCGAGAGCGGAGCATCGTTGTAATCGCTACCCAACGGGTGGTCAGTGCTGCACACTTCCGTCCACGTGCTGGTGCAGTTGAGGCCCACGTTGAGAAAGGCTGCGCACGAAGCGTCGGCGTCGACCCAGTCGAGTTGAGCGTGGCAGAGTTCAATCGGTTCGCCACTGCCGCCCTCGAAGCTGCCAACGTCGCCGATGACGTCGCTCGCGGCGCGCCCAGCCATGGCAGCGAGGAGGAGGTGGCGGGGCAAAATGCTACTTCCCATCATACCGGTTTCCATCTGGAGCGCCCGCCGGCGCCGCCAACGCCCGGCCCGTGTCGACGATTACGAGTATTAACACGGGGCAGGGAGAGGGATCGCAGGGTATGGAAGAATTCTTAAACTACAAGCCTCCCTCACAGCACACTGGCACGACAAGGGCGCGGACGGGCCCGGAACATTTTCTTCCGTGTTTTTTTCTGGCCCTATTTGCTCGTTGAGGCTCTTGAGTCGACTTGATCGACGGGGGCCTGCAGCCAATAGCCAATAGACCCGCTGGATGGAGCACGGCACCAGACTAGCCGAGCATCACGCGCTGCGCCTCGACGTTGGTGACCAGAGCACTGCGCGGCTCGCTGGGGTACAAGCTGCTCTTCTTGAAGCCCAGCGGGACGCCTGTGCGGCCGGGGAGCGCGCAGCGGCGGCTGAGGCGGCAGCGAGGGCTGCGGACGAGAGGGCACAGCGCTGTGATGCGGCGACGGCGGCAGCGAGGGCGGCGGCAGAGAAGCGCGCCACGGCGGTGGCGCGAGAGGCGTCACGGCTGGTGGAGGCAGCCCGCATCACCGAGGCTGCGCTGGCGACTGAGCGAGCGGCGCGAGCGGCAGAGGCGGAGGAGTCGCGTGTCGTCGCTGCGGAACGCGACGAGCTCGAGCGCGAGCGGAACGCCTTGCGTGCGGAGCGGCAGCTGATCAGCCAGCGATACACGGCCCTTGGGAGCAAGGTGGAGGCGCTGGTGGCAATGGAGGCGGTGCGAGGTGCGAGTCAACGCGAGGCTGCGCTGCGCGCGCGGGTGGAGGAGCTGGAGGCGGCGCTGCAAGAGGCGTGCGCCGCTCGGCGCGACGACGCGGCGGAATTCCGCAGGCAGGAGGCGCTGCTCGGGCAGCGCTGGTCCGACCAGTTGGAGGAGGCCGAGGCTGCCGCCGGCACGCGCGTGGCGGCGGCGGCGCGGGAGGCCATCACTGCGCTTGGGCGAGACGCATCTCTTGAGCGCGAGCTGGCCGTCGCTCGCACCTCGCTCGCCGGGCTGGAGCGGGAGCTGGCGGCGCGGACGGAGGAGCTGAGCCGCGCGATCGCTGACGCAGGGGCGTGGCGCGCTGAGGGGGAGCGGCGGCAGGCCGCAGTGGACACGCAGGCAGCGGCTCTAAGCGAAACTGGGGCCCGCGAGAGACCTCCGGGTCGGGCCGGGGCTCCACCTTCCTGCGTGCACGCCGGCTCCGCCTGGGCCTCGCTGGAGACCTCGAGACCTCGGGGGTCGGGCCGGGGCTCCACCTTCCTGCGTGCACGCCGGCGCCGCCTGAGCCTCCTCTCTGGCGCCGCCTGAGCCACCTCTCTGGCGCCGCCTGAGCCTCCTCTCTGCACGGGGACAGGTGGCGCTCGTGGCAGAGGAGCGACGCGAGCTCCAGGCCGGGGCGGCGGCGCAGCTTGCAGAGGTGCGCGCGCAGGCCGCTGCCGCGCAGACCGGGGCGGCGGACAGGGTGCGGGCGGAGCTCCGCGCGGCGCACGAGGCGGAGCTGCGTGGCGCGGTGGCGACGGCGGAGGCCGCCGCCGCCGCGTCGGACGCTGTCGGGCGCGTGATGGCGGTCGAGCTGTCGGCGGCTGAGGCGTCGGCGGCTGGATGC